ATCTTGGAACGGCAAAAAAACGGCAAATTTGGACATAAAGCCTAGTCTTTTGTCTTTGAGTTTGGAGGGGTGCTTCGCTAACTTTATATAAAGTTAGCAAAACACCTTATATCTAAAAAAATACAAGAGCGACAAAATTATTTTTTCCACAACTAATTAACGGCAAAAAACGGCAAATTCATAGGTATATGCGACATTTTTTTCTTGATGAAAAAATTTTTTTTTCTTTTTTTATTTAAAAAAAAATATTTTTTTCAAAAGTAAACTAGCTCATCTTGGAACGGCAAAAAAACGGCAAATTTGGACATAAAGCCTAGTCTTTTGTCTTTGAGTTTGGAGGGGTGCTTCGCTAACTTTATATAAAGTTAGCAAAACACCTTATATCTAAAAAAATACAAGAGCGACAAAATTATTTTTTCCACAACTAATTAACGGCAAAAAAACGGCAAATTCATAGGTATATGCGACATTTTTTTCTTCATGTTGTTTCGCTAACTTTATACACATCACTTATATGTATATGTATCTATGCACATACGTATCTATGCACATAGTATGTATCTATGCACATACGTATCTATGTATGCACATACGTATCTATGCACATACATACATATGTACCTAGGTATGTATATTAGCATTTTAGTTGAAAGTACGTTTTACTCGTCGCTCTCTTCATCGCTCCACTACAATCCTGTCCTTAATTTTATTCAGATACCACAAATGCACGATCCAGAAAATTCTTCTATCATTCTTGCCACAAATGTATGTTTTCTTCGAAAATACTCAAGTACTACCAGTAGAGTACTCTACTGTCAAATACCTTTTACTCGCAGTAGTTGCGGAAGGCAAAGTAAATACTCTACTCGTCTTGCTATTGATCGGTAGTTTACGTACGCTTGCAGAAACTGGTTCATGCTTACTCACACTTGACCCGAACGATGAGAGTAAAGGAGGGAAAGTATTTGCGCGGCGATCGGATGTCTCGTTAGGCCCTTTAAATGGAGTTGCGCAGGAGTTTAATACTTAATTTACTTAGATACTCATTTAGCAATGTACCGGAAAACTTTTCATTGTGTGGGACAGCGACGATTCTTGGCCCTCCTATAACAGAAAACGCACCTCTGTGCTCTTGAGTTTCCCTATAAGAACTTTTATTGGCATACGCATCGCACCAATGTTGTAGTTGCAAGATCATACAAAAAGATTACGCATGCCTGGCAGAGATCTCACAGGTGGAAATAAGACCATCGGTAAAGCTCATGACACCGAAAGGGATTGGTATTCCATATGGTATCACAGCGTTACTATTATTGGCCTATATGTGAGGAGGATACTGCGCCCTAGTGGTTTCAACTTAAATCAAAATTTTTGACTTTACAGACTAATTTTGTTTTTAAACGCTCTTTTGCATTGGCCAACGCAAAAGCTCTTATTAGGCGCCGCGAGGTAACCGGGCATTGGCTAGTTTTATAATAAAAACGTGATTCTATGGTGACATTGTATTTATTTTGTTCATTCATTTATTGATTCCAACCGTACGGAAAACTTTATCCGTTGACTTACACATATGTTAGTGTTTGGCCGAGCTTCTCCTCTGGATAATATGCTCCCAGATAATCCAAACTCAATATTTTCACACAGTCTCTATCACGGTATTCATTGAATATTCTGCTAATTAGCTGAGTGCGCGCATTTGTACAAAAGTAAGCAATTGCATGAAAATAAAGCCGCTAAAAAAACCAAGTAAAGTTTTGCAAATTGTTTTATACCATGTCCCCACCAAAAAGTTAACCATCTCAAATCGAACTTAACCACATCACTAACTATTGCTGTCCACACTGCGGTTTGAGGTTTATAAAACAGTTCAAATGTAAACAGTGTTCGGACTCCTGAAAATCGATTCAGAAGTAAATCGTTTTGAAAATCGGAGCGAAAACAAATTTTCCGTACTAGATTGGAATTTTTTATTTTCGCTTTCGACGTTAATTGTATGACTTAAATATTTTCTATTCATGCAAAAATAAGAACACGAGTAGTATTTTTAGTAGTAGTTTTAAGTATTCTGTAAAGTAAAATACATCTAACCAACCCTTTTTAAAGAGCAATCGGAAAAATCTAAAGCTCTTCCACTTTATATAAATTGTGTCCTAATTTTTTTATTTTGTACTGATTTGTACTGATTTTTCAATTCTGAGCAATCAAATTTGTAATAGAGCTCTTCCCACCGAGCTTGGTACACGGTAACTCGGTGATCGGTAATTTTTGCCCATGTATTTTGTTTGTGTAATATTATTTTACACAAAAAAAATACTTTACGATTTGCTTAAGTTTTTTACATAACGTTGGAACTTTCACAAAATTGACTGTAAAAAGTAAGAAGAAAATAATTTAATTAAAGTTGACATGTTTTAGGTAGTGTTTGATATGCGCAAGAAATTAATACAAAAGAGCTGACATTTTTTGTCGAGTGTTGTTAGTTATCTCGAATATAAATTTCAGTTTAAAAACAACAAATTTGAATAAATGAATGGCTTTGCCTACAACTTACAATTCGTTTTTCTCAATTTAGTGATTCAATTTAGATACTCTTTTTGGCGAATTCATAGTCTTTCAAAGTTTTTGCGCAATTGAAAAAATAATTTAAGCCATGAGGAAATACGGATGCAGTCCTTAAATTGAGGTATCTTTCCACAGTTTGAATAAATATGTAATTTTGTTTTTTCCATACCATGTTCAAACGAAGCACCTGAGAGGAACTAACTTAAATATAAAGATTACTTCCTGGCGAAAAGAGAGAAACCGACTTCTAATTAAAATTTTAGAAAGTGAACTTCAAATTAAAAGTAATATTAAAATATGGATAATGTTTAGAGTTCTTTGACTATTTAAACACTGAAAGTGGAAATGATCTCATTATTGCTATTAAAAAATGTCATGTATATAAAATAATTTATTGGCTCCTGTAATATTATAAAGTTATCTCTACTACATGTTAATGTGTATACTCATTTTAAAATGAATACCATTTTTATTTTTTATGAACAACATTTTATTTATAAACTGGTAAGGCTTCCTCAAGTGGGCCCCGAATTTACCAAGATTAATATTTTTCAATGATATTCAAGCAGCGCCGAGTTTTTAGTCGAAAAGTACACTGTGTAAATTTTGTTGCAAAACTCCAAATTGTTTTTTTATAAACAATTAAAAATTTTTGCAGTGTTTTGGAAATTTTTATTTTTCTTTGAAAGTAAGTGTCCGAATGAAAAATTTTTTTTGGGTGCAGAATTAAAAAACATTAAACTATACAATGAAATTATTTGCGTTACAAAATTTTGTTTTGCTTTTCTTGGTAATAATGGTATAATCTTGGTAAATTCGGGGCCCACTTGAGGAAGCCTTACCCATACCAAGATATTATTAAAAAAAACTACTCTGGCGTTTCAAAGTATTATCTGCTACTTACATTCATAATTCTTCTTGGAATAAAAGTGTACTGAAAAGTACTGGGCATGAATCACGTAACTTTGAAACGATAGTCGTTCAAACGATACTGACAAATCGATGTGGTCAAAGCACTGATTTATGCATTTGTGTTGCTGTTACGAGTTACTGTTACTGTTACGTGAAGCAAAACTGGAATCGAGTTGACGATACCGCACAAACGATCAAACCATTTTTGATTTTTATGAAGAAAGACAATCTCGACACGATATCGTTCAGACGATTGTCGTCATACGTGATTCATGCCCTGATTTTTATAGCATGAAAAAGTCTAATGTACTGATTTCGCGCCAAAAAA